AACTAACTAACTAACTAACTCAGTGGCGCGACAGCCCATTAAGAGGGCCAAGGCCGACTGTGCCCATCTCAGTTTTCTTGACCTTGGGCTCTGGGGTGCAGGAGCATATGTTCCGGTCAGGTGGTCAGCCGAACGCGGAACCCCCAGTGTTAGTTCCCAAGCATGCTTGGTACTCATTTTATCGACCCACTGAAGGGATGAAAGGCTGAGTCGGCCTTGCCCGGCCCAAGGATCGAACCAAGGACCTGTGGCACGACAGCGCGAAGCGCTACCGCTCAGCCACCGGGCGTCCCACTTGCAATCGCCTAGTTTATAATCTACGGTATGTTTTGTCAATTCGCGAACGGTTATCGGTACCTGGCAACACTGATGATTAGTTTAATTAAGAGTCGTGGTGACTCAAGGAATTGAGCTCTCACTCCTTAATGAGAGGACTCATGTTTGAATCCCAGTGATGACTGGACAATACAAATTCATCTCCCAGCTCGACTTAAAATATCCTGAGCTGTGAACGGATGCTGGATCAGACCTCCCGTGACTTTGCATTTACCGCGGGAATTGAATTGAATGTAGGGTTTAATGGCACAAAGTGCCTCATAAGGAAATGCAGCGCCAAACAAACGGTTTTAAATTAAATCTTAGATAAATACATACTACAAATTTTTCTTACTAGAATCACATGAGATTTATAAAATTGAATACAACTTAACAGACGTATTCAAAAGTGAGTAAAATCAGATAAAATGTAAAAACAGTAATACATCATAAAACAGCTGCATTCTAAGATGGAAAAAAAAACCGATAAAATTTGAAATAGGATAAAACAGTTATATACAGTATAAAATACCAATTGCAACTAAAAGAACCAAAATGTTAGGATGATGGGAGTCACCTAACAAATCCTTAAGAGTTAAAATAGAACTACCGGAAAAGGTAAGACGATGACGGTTAAAGCATGAGTAAATAATTAAAATATGATGAACAGTGAGTAAACCTTTGCAAGTTCTGCATTGGGGAGATGGTTCTCCAAATAGAAAATGCATGTGGGTCAGGCGTATGTGGCCGAATCGGAGACGGTTTAACTTAACATCCGCATGCCACTGGCACAATACAGTATAAGGGATAAAATATGTTTTTACTGAATGCAATTTATTATAAATTTCAAGATCCCATTGTTGTTTCCATAGAGATGTGATAAATTGTCGAATATAAGTTTTTGTGTCCAAGAAAGGCACAGATAGAGTTAAAACAGTGGCAGCAGATCTTGCTGCCGAATCAGCCAAGTCATTCCCTGGACGACGTGACTCGGTATCCAACAAAATAAAATATGAAATCTATTTTTGTGAAGGATAATCAATAAATTATTAAAGAAACATAAAATTGGATGAGTATCATTGTTAAAACTTTCCAACTGACGCAAAACACTCATACTGTCGGAGTTTATGCAATACTTCCTTGTAGAACGCGTAGAGATCAGCCGCAATGCCAAGAGGAAGGCAACAGCTTCAGCAGTAAAGACGAAACAAATATCTGGGATTTTGAAGCTATGGGCATCATCAGCGATGATGACGCCACAATTGACACATCTCGCAGATTTTGAAACGTCAATGAAAACATATTCAGGATACTGATGTCGATGAGAAGAGTGAAGAGTTGTTGATAAATGGTGAGATCAACATAATATTTACTATACTTCATAAAAGGGGAATAAAATTGATATGGTGGGATATTCTATGGAAGTATGAGAATTTGATCCACTAAATGCTATGGTTATTCGCAAATGTCAAAAGCTTGAATGAATCAACACATGCGAGCATTAAATGGACGGACGCGAGAAGATCTAGCTGTATATAATCTCTCCAAGCTTCATGAAACTACGTAATGCTTTAGTGGGTGATATCTAGATGATGTACTCATCGTGGCAAGTTTTCATGGTTTCCCTCTCCATGATATACAAATGCGGGTTAGTTCCATTAAAGAGTTCTCCATGAAGGCAATTTTCTCCCAATACTTGATCCAGGAGTTCACTTGACTTCTAGATCGAATACTCATTTGAATATTGCATAGTCATAAATCCAAAAATGGGTTTGCTGTTTAACTTCGGATATAAAATAAAGTGGTTTGATTTGAAAGCGACAAAATGTTTCGTCATTCAATGTAAAATTAGCTTTTTAAAGGTAAAAGTTTGAGATTTTAATATATTATTATCACAGATTAATTATGCGCTTAAAATATTTAAACTCTAGGTTTATAAGAATTTTTCTTGAATTATTAAACATTATAGCATTGTTTGCAGTAGTCTATTTTAAATATTAGACAGCGTTTAAATAGTTGTCAAAAATATTTTTACCATTTGCATATGGAGGCAATTCGAGTGCCATTGTTGTGGATTCCAACTTGTCATCGGCGGAATTATCGTCATCTGAAAAATTATTAATGTAATTAGTATCTCTATTTTGTTACTATTTCATCCATATAAACATGCATTTGTTATAATAATAATATATAATGTATAAATATATCGCAAATGCGTATGTATGCTGTTAAAAAAAACGTTGTTTAATTTTCCTTATCAGTTGGGCAACAAATGAATGAAATGTCAAGCGAGAGAGAAGCCAAAACCCTGAACTCTTTAGCGCACATGCTTACAAATTTTTGAATGAAAATTCTTTCTTCGCTTGGGTAATAAAAAGTTGAAACAAACTGAGCTATAGCTGTGCAGAAATTAAACGGTATGTAGATAATTTGTTCGTGTAGGCAAACAATTTATATATTTGTTTTAATTGTACTAGTAAGTTCTAGTAACTTCGACCAAAATGCCAAATTGATGAAAACGTTTTAATAAATTAGTATAGAATTAAATAATAAAACTTGTAGATTAAGGAAAATTACGCCTACTCTTTAAAAGAGTAACGATGAGATAAAAGCAATAATATTTAAAACTTTCTTAAAAGAGACTAAGAATTAGTAGGTTTCTTTTTCATGGACTTCAATCCCTCATCTGAGATTGACCCTACAGAGACTACTAGCTTAACAGACTTACAGAGACTACTACCAACAGAGACTACTAGCTTAAACAAGAAGGATATGATTGTTTTTGCTTTAAATATGAATAAATTTGAATTGCAAGACATGGTGGTACTAACGTTTGAATTATTAGAGATGTTAAATAAATAAAAATGTAGTGAGTTTCTACTACTTTTCAAAATTGTAGCCACTCGGGCTATCTGCATTAATCCTTTCGCACCGAATGTCACAAATACCTGGCAGCATAAAACCGTATCAATCAGGGTAAAAAGATAAAACTGATAACATAAGTAGTTCTTTAGCAGTTTATTTGTGGGCGGGTTTAATTGTTTGATTTATTTAATTCACCATTACTTTAGTTCAAAGTAAAACTATTTAGTTATACTTTGAACTAACAGTGATTATATATATGATTAAACTAACATTAATTAAAGTAAAGACAAAGTAAGTTCGTCAATTTAGCAATGCCTATATTTAAGTTACCGTTTTTTATTTTTTTGCATCGTGATTTTGTATGAATGCTTTTATGAATCACCCGTCCCCGAGGGGTTAACAAAGATGCCAACTGTTCCGGATTCGACAAAATATTTTAAAAAACGGTAAGAAATACAAACTATAATATGCCGTTTTTAGGTTAATTTTGCTAACATTTTTCAAGGCCCAACTCAGCTCACCTGTAAAAAAGTGGCGCGTCTCATAAGCCTGCGAATTATTTCAGACATGCCAACTGCTCCGGACAAGTCAAAATAATCTAAAAAACGGTAAAAAACTACAAAGTAAGTTTTGCAAACATTTGACTTTTTTTGCTTACTCTTGAAAAGGTATAGCTTGTCATAAGTACAAATCAGAGGTGAATTATATAAACCTACGAATTATTTAGAAATAGCGGTGAATAAAAGCTACAAATTGAATTTATTAAACCAAAAATCACAATTGATAAACTATCACTTTAAAATATATATTTGCTGTCCGGAGCAAGTTGGCATCTTTGTTATTTAGAAGTGGTGGTCAGTAAAAACTCTATGAATCGAATTTATTAAACCAAAAAACACTCATTATAAGACTACCACTCGAATATAATTATCCGCTGTCCGAAGCAAGTTGGCATCTCTGCATTAATTGAATTTTTATTTTTAAACGTATATAAATAAACAATGTGCTAAAACGCTAAGTTAACACGTTCACGCCGGGAGATTTTCTCATCTTGGCGGCACACCGGAGTAAAAACTGGTAAAATAAATTTCATTTTTTAGTTTTTTTCCTGGAATAATAAAAATCCATAACTATCAATTGTTTTTAACGGATGCAATTTTTATATAGAATTGCTTCTTCGCCGTGATAAATTTCCTTACAGTGAATTGTTATTGTTGAGAATAGATTAACTCCTCCCGAATATTATCTAATCTTGAAATTGTTTTTCTACCGTATTTTCTCTTTTCCCGTACCAGTATTTACACTTTTCCCGGCGTGAACATATTAATGGGCAATAGTTTTTATTTCGAAATTCATTTAACCCTAGAAAATCGTCTTACTCAGATGACGTTNTTCATTTTTTAGTTTTTTTCCGGGAATAATAAAAATCCATAACTACCAATTGTTTTTAACGGATGCAATTGTTATATTGAAATGCTTCTTCGCCGTGATAAATTTCCTTACAGTGAATTGTTATTGTTGAGAATAGATTAACTCCTCCCGAATATTATCTAATATTGAAATAGTTTTTCTACTGTATTTTCTCTTTTCCCGTACCAGTATTTACACTTTTCCCGGCGTGAACGTATTAACCCTTTCGCGCCGACTGTCACAAATACGTGACAGCATAAAACTGTATCAATCAGGGTAAAAATATAAAACTGGTAATCAAAGTTTTTCTTTAGCAGCTTATTTGTGGGTGGAGTTATAATTGTTTGATTTATTTAATTCACCAATACTTTGTTCAAAATAAAACTATTTAGTTATACTTTGAATTAACATGGATTATATATATGATTAAACTAACAATAATTAAAGTAAAAGCAAAGTAAGTCTGTCAAATTAGCAACGACTACATTTAAGTTACCGTTTTTTATTTAATTACAACTTGATTCTGATTTTGTACGAATGCTTTTCTGAATCACCCGTCCCCAAGAGGTTAATGGGCAATAGTTTTTATTTCGAAATTCATTTAACCGTAGAAAATCGTCTTACTCAGATGACGCTTAATTATTTTGATACTATGTAAATCTGTAACAATGGTAAATTGGGCAGTTTCGATAAGATCTTATAAAATGGTTTTTCCGTTATTTCAGAAAATATTTTTTTAGTGGTAGCAAAGATCTATTTTAATATATAGATATTTTAATGAATTAGAATTAAAAGAACTTTTTCACACCACTGCTTATATGTATTTTATTCTGCTGAGTTCAGATAGATAGGTGGTGAAGTCTTTTTCAAATTTTTACAAGAATTCTATTTTTTTTTCTTTTTTAATTCGGATTTAGTTTGCTGCCACTGATAAATGTGTTTCGTACAAAACTCGAATAAAGGATTATGTCGTAAAGTACTAAATATAACATAGGTACAAGTATTATAATGATTATTTACCCCTTGAAAGGGATATGAATAGGAAAAATTGATCGTGGTAAATTTTGACTATCATGTCAAGTGAGGCTAAATACAGTTAATATTTACTCTGTTGGGATGAACGACAAAAAAACGAGTTTTCCTTAGTTTAATAACGTAAAGTTATCAGAAAGGATGACAAATAATATTGCATAAATAAAAATTGAAATTATTTTAGCTTTATTAATTGAAGAACTTAGTGGAAGACCGAAATAAGTGACATTTTCGGAGAGGCCATTATTGTAATGCGAAAAAAGTGCTTTCTGAGCTATTTTATTCGAATTTTTTAGAAATCGGGACTAACAATTCTTTCCCTCATTATTTACCGTTGCTTAATTTGAAATAAAAATCATGCAAGCATACTAAAAAGTAAAGTGGATTACTTAGTTAAGATTAAAGTCAAGGTAAAAACAATTCTGTTACATTAAACATATCCATATTGATGCAACCACCTTATGTTGCGTTCTCTTATTCACCAATTTCCCTAAAATGTTACTTACCTGGTTCTTCCACTAAGTTCTTCAATAGTGTTGATACACGTCTTTTAATTTTGAGCATGGCTGCATAGGGTTTCTCAGTACTGATGTATTGATTTTTTTCGTTTTTATCCTCGTTTTCTCTTATTCACTCCGTGTGAAGAACGAGTATTAAGCTAATTACATTATAAGGATTTAGAAAAAAAAACATTTATTAAATACCACTTCATTTTTGTAGTTCTTTATCATTGAAATAAATCTAAACTTTTCTTACGACAGTCAATTTCGTCAGCACCATTTTGACAGTTTATCATTCCATCGCAAACTTCACTCTTGGCAATACAAGTATTTTCAGAACAACGGAAGCTGTCATTCCCTTCACAATTAATCACTGCAAATGTAGAAAATAAAATGAAAATGTAACATAAAAAATGTAAAAGGACCGCAAGGCCCCAGACGCTCAGTTCTATTACAACGAAAGAACGAACATAAAAAGTGTATTACTTTTCATACATAAAATTTTTTATTAGAATATAGATATAAAAGAATCGATATATATATATATATATATATATATTCTATA